GAGGAGTTTTTTTTTTCTAAGATTTTATTTATTTATTTTTAGACACAGGAGAAGGAAAGGAGAAAGAGAGACAGACATGTGCCCTGACCGGGAACCGAACCAGCGACCTCTTGGTTCGCAGGCCTGCGCTCAATCCACTGAGCTAGACCAGCCAGGGCCATGAGAGGAGTTTTTGACTTCTGTGGCATCCAGAGAACCCCACAGGAAGAACTCTATGCTTAAATGAAGCTCTTTGGTTGTTATTGCCCCTCCCCTTAACTTCTCTTTTTCCCCTCTGTAAGGACCTCTTCATCCTGGCACATGGAAAAGTGTAAATTGCCATGTCTGTAGTGGGTTGCAATCCTTTCCTTTCCTAAATTAACCTTTTCTGAGAAACACGGAATTGATACTAGTTTTTGTAGTTGACAGGACAAGGTGGAGAAGATAAGGAAAGACTGAATAAATGGTGGGTACTGGGCTAAGGATTTGAACTTTATTTAGCAGGTAATATATAGGCATTAAGAGCTTTTATTCAAGATCCCTGGCTGATGTGGCACAATGGATTGAGTGCAGGCCTGCGAATCAGAGGATTGCCAGTTCGATTCCCAGTCAGGGCACATGCCTGGGTTGTGGGGCAGGTCCCCAGTAGAGGGCGTGTAAGAAGCAACCATACATTGATGTTTTTCTTTCTCTTTTTCTCCCTCCCTTCTCCTCTCCAAAAAATAAATAAAAATTTTCTTTTAAAAATTTTTATACAAGAAATGCTCAACACTAAACTAGTGGAATGTTGGCAGATTGTTCTGGCAGCAGGTACAAAATAACCTGGAGGCAAGAGGTAACGGGCAGAGAAATTGGAGGTAAGGAGATCATGCTGTACGTTTATCATCAAATGTAAAGATAATCTGTAATGAGAGCATAACTTAGAGTACTAGTGCTAAAAAAGGCAAGAAAGGGTCAGTGGAAAGACATTGCCACTAAACTTTAACCCACTCAGTTCACTTCATTACTGGTAACAGAGCTAACAGCAGGCAGCTCCAAGGGATGTTAAAACGTTTTTAGTCCACAGTTCTACTAAATTTAATTTGACGGGAACTAGATAGAAATGTAGTAAACACCAAAAAATTCTGCTAGAACTATAAACAATGACAGTATTGCTTCTCACTTTCTTCTCTCCTGAGTAAACACTTCTGAAACATTCAGGTAACTCAAGCTTCTAAAAGAGGAAAGACTTGGCAAAGCCCCCAGTCAGTCTCACTCATCATGGCCTCTGCCCGTCATTGGTTTGCAGTATAAGATCAACAGAAAACAGAAATTTACATGAAATAGATTGCGAAAGGCCAAATTATTCCAAATTATCCCAATCCCTTTTCTTTTTTCCCCAAAGGAAATGGTTGTTGATGCTCTGAGGAGTTAAATTATAATAACACATGCCAGGAAGATGATGTCAGGGAAGGCGTGGTTGGGCCCTTTACACGTCTGAAATTCCTTCAGTCCCAAACACTTCCTCTTTCAATCTTACCTACATTCAAATCTCTCCACTGAGGCAACTCTGTCACATGGTGGAGAAGCAGTGTGGAGACCCTAGAACGCAGACTTTTTTTACTGCAGTCTTTTTTATTTTTAATGAACCAAGAATACTTGAGGGGCATTAAAACAGATGCTTTTAAAAAATGTACCACATTATTTTATAGAATCTCTGGTCGAAATCCCCATTTCGCCCCTTCTGTGATTATTTTAATTGCAGAGAAAGGAGAGGGTATTCAGCATCACATCCTGTGAAAGACTCCGATGCCTTTATTAGGCATCATATGTTTGTTGTTCTCATTTGCATTTCCCTAATAATTAGTGGTGCTGAACATCTTTTCATATGCCTTCCTTTGAAAAGTATCTATTCAGATCCTTTGCCTATTTTTTATTCCGATTATTTGTTTTTTATTGTTGAGTTGTATGAGTTCTTTCATGTATTTTGGTATTAACCTCTTCTTGGAAGTATCATCTGCAAATATCCTCACCCATTTAGTGGATTGCCTTTTTGGTTCTATGGTTTCCTCTGCTGTACAGAAGCTTTTTAGTTTGATAGAGTCCCGTTCATTTATTTTTGCTTGTTTCCTTTGTCTTTGGAGTCAAATTCCAAAAACACCACTGGCGACCAATGTCCAGAAGCTTAGTACCTATGTTGTCTTCTATGTATTTTATTGTTTCAGGTCTTACATTCAAGACTTTATCCATTCTGAGCTAATCTGTGTGTATGTTATAAGACAGTATCTAGTTTCATTCTTTTGCACGTGGCTGTCCAATTTCCCAGCGCCACTTATTGAAGAGATTTTTCCTTTCTCCATTGTCTATTCTTGGCTCCATTATCATAAATTAGTTGCCCATATATGTGTGGGTTTCTTTCTGGGCTCTCAATTCTATTCCATTGGTCTCTGTGTTTTTATTTCAAGCAGATATTTATAATTTATCCTGTTTCAGAAGTTTAGAGTTTGATTGTTCTTTCAGTTTTTTAATGTTTCAACAGGCCCAAAAACTTTATGGAGACTTGTTCTACTTGAGAAACTGAGCTCTTAATAGAAATGGTAAATAATCCAATATCAAGATTATGAGTTATTCTTGTCACAGAAAAAGTGCAGCAGGATACCTATACCAAACTGCTGTGAGTTACTGTCCCTGAGGGGTGAGTTTGGGTAATAAACTTCAGGACATAAAGAGAAGGCCTGATTTTTAATTTTATATACCTCCTTATGCTTAAGTTTTGTTTCTGCTTTGTTTTGAATGGGCATGTCTTATATTTACTACTAAAAACTAACCCTGACTGGCGTTGCTCAGTGGGTTGTGGGTCACAGATTGGATTCCCAGTCAGGGCACGTTCCTGGGTTGTGGGTCCCAAGCTGGGGGCGAATGAGAGGCAGTGGATTGATGTTTCTCTCCCTCTCTTTCTCCCTTCCCTCCCCTCTCTCTAAAAGTAAATAAACAAAATCTTTAAGAAATAAATAATAAAAAACTAATAAAAGTTACTTTACAAATTAAACCTTGGGTAGAGAAGTATGCACAAAGTACATGAGCAACTCTATCCAAAATACTCTCCTCAAAAGAGAAATGAACACATTAAGCCCTATATTTCAACACAAAAGCAAAGAGCAATGTAGTAATGCTTTAGTTTAAATAGATCCGATGTTCACAAGCCTGTGTGCACACACAAGGAGTCAGATATACAGCCACAAAGTGATGTGGTCACACTGACCTATAAGGACCCAAAGAATTCTTGACGAATACTTTAGTGAGTATGTGAGCAGGCATCCCCCCACTGTTTCCTGAATTGTTTCTCAAGCCTGACAAGTTATCAAGAAGAGATATAAGATGTAAATCCAAATCCATAATTGTACTTCTTTGGCCTCTATACTGTCCTAGATTTAGAAGATGGTTAAATGTTTTTTTATACTGTAAGAGGGAAAGGGAGTAGAGAACTGAGAAAAGATTTTAGATAGCATCGAATGCGTGAAACCCCTAATACGAAAAAAACTAATTCCTGTAACTCATTTTACTTTATTTTAATGGGTCTGAGTAACCAGAGAGACTTGGAAAGAAAAAATTAGTAAAGAAACTCTCATATAGTACTATATAAGATTTGAAAAGAATAAAAACAGATGGACTATCCCTCTATCAAAGCCATAAATCTATACATGCATTGTGTATAGACCATGGAAAACCACTAATGGACCCATAGTTATTTAAGGATACAAACGGAAAGAGTACCATACAAACTAATACCCATAAGCCAGCACTAAGTGTTTGGGGTCTATCACCCACTGCCTTGATCTCACTCTCTCTCTCTCTCTCTCTCTCTCTCTCTCTCTGTTTAAATGTACCTGTAATAACCCTGGCCAGGTAGCTCATTTGATGAGACCTGCATCCAGATACATCAGGCTTGCAGTTTGATCCCGGTCAGGCACACAGAAGAATCAACCAATTAAATGTGTAAATAAGTGGAACAACGAAGTCACGTCTGTCTGTCTCTGTCTCTCCCTTCCTCTCTAAAATCAACCAATCAGTCAATCAATCAACCTGTAATAGTCTCTCTAGTTATATGAGCAAGCAGCAGAAATTCTTTCCTACCCTCCAACACTTCCTCGGGTCATTAAAAGATCCCCAAATGCCTAGGCTATCTTTTTTACTCAAAGAAGAGTGACAACACGAGGGAGGGTCTGCGGTCTTCCTGTTACAACACGAAGTCCATCCTAATCCAGCACTGTGTGTCCTGAGATGCCTGAAACTGCCAAGGATAGTCCCTGGGAAATGTGGGCATGATGTCCTCCTCTCTCCAGACTGCTCATGTGCCCAAGCACAGCACAACTCTTTGGCAGCCTCAGGTTAATCCCAAAGCCTCCAAGGATGCGGGCTGAGCCTGGCTATCTACAGATCTCAAAGTACCAGTGCAGCAGCAAAATCCAAAGAATCACAGACCTTTCTGCCTTAATCCCAAAGTACGTCTTCTCTTAAGGCTCCTTTCCTTTGGTGTGGGTTGGGTAGGGTCTCTATCTGGTCTAGAAGAGTATACCCAGTTCTGGATGAAGCCGTTGTGATTTCACTGGGTATTTCTGCTGCCTGATAGTGCTGGCAGAATGGGTAGGAAGGAGGGTGGGGAGGGGAAGAATGGAAACACTTAATCAGAAAGATAAAATAACATTGGAGGGAATAGGCTGGGGGCCGGGGTCTGAGATGACATGTTATCCCTGTGGAGACTGGCTGTATCAGCAGGAAGTCGGACCAACTTCGTTTCTCAAAGATACAAACTCACAAGCTTGATTTGTTTTTAGTTCCCCTGACTTCTCCAGCCTCAAAGACTGTACAGTTCCTGGAACTTCAGAACCAGGTGAGCAAAGATGCCAGAAAGTGGAAAAGGGAGAAGTGCTGAGATGAGAAAGGAATCCTTTTCCTGTCTTCAGGAGAATGTTAAAGCCAAGAGCACTCCCCGATTCCCAGAAAAGGAAGTAGCTGAATTCCAAAAAAACACTTTTCCCTACCTTTTTGTTGTTCTTGTTATAGCCAAAAGTCGAAATCCCAGGTCTGGAAGTCATCGATAGCAGCATTTTTCTCTTTAATATTAGGGAGCTGAGAGAGGAGAGAGAGAGGGACAGGGAGGGGAAGAGAGAGAGGGAGAGAGAGAGAGTGAGGGAGGGAGAGGGGAAGAGGGAGAAAGAGAGGGAGAGAGAGGGAGGGAAGGAAGGAGGGGGAGGGAGAGGGTGAAGAGAAGGGGAGGAGAAGGGGGAGAAAAGGAGCAAGAGGGAAAGAAATGAGGAGGGGGGGTGGGTAAAGAATGAGCTAGGGCTGCTTGTTGACGTCACTGAGAGAAGTTAACCCAGAGTCTGAATGAGGCACTACCACTGGGTCCTAATGCCCAAGATGTTATTTTTTTAATTTTTCACAAGCTTAGTAGTTAAAACAAAAGAAAAGTTCTTAGGTCTACTCCTTTCCATTCCAGCCCCCTTCCTCTACGAACAAGTTCTGATTCTCATGAAAAGACAATGAGAATGATTTTCCCTTAAATGTCAGCCATAAGAAGATTTCAAGCTTGATTTTAAAGGGGCCTCTGGGACACACTGCTTTGGAAAACATGGGAAGAAAACCATACTAAGAATACGCGAGAGATGAGCTCAGGACTCCCCCCACCCCACCCCACACACGATTTATATGCACAGTGATCTCAGTCTATGAACAAAAAACAAACAGGAGAGCTCACCAAAGGACAGAGACAGAAAAACAGAACATGAGCAGCAACAACGCATTTCAGGTCCTTGGACAGTTCTAAGCCTCCTGGGTCATGCCAATGGGCCGAGGCATCTTGCTGCTTTTCAGGCTCCTTTGGGTAGGACTCCAAATTTCAGAAGGAATTATCAAACTGGACTACGTCAGAAAACGTGGTACCTAGTGGTTTCCTTTTGCCCTGGCTTTCCTGGGATGTAATTGCCTAGTGGTTTCTATGGCTGTTTTATTAGACTCTGTGTCCCACTATTCCCTAATCTTCAAGGTCTGTGAAGCTGAGACAACTAGAGTTACTCACCCAACCTGGAATTTATGCCCAAACTGAAGTTCGCAGAGTGGAGATGTTTGCTTCCAGTTGTCTCTGAGCTGTAGAAAAAAAACAACTATTTAAAAAGCATGTTTCATAAAGACTAAAAATACGAAGTTCTTAGAAAAGAAGAATACAAACTTAGAGTGAAAAAACTCACACAGTTGCAACTCTCACCTCTAAGATTCAAAGGAGTGTCCTGCAGAAGAAGTCTTAACGAGAAAAGAAACTTGTAGGAAACCAGAGATTTAAGAGTGGTACCCAGTAAGTCCTATCAGTCCAAGGGGGACAGGGATGCAGAATGAAAGCCTTCAAATCGCTTACGCCCACCTGCTGCCATCATAGATATTCTGTTAAGACATAAATGAACCCTCTCAGCTTTGCCACAGTAACCAGCACAGTCGAACCCTCCCTTAAACGAAGTTCCAATCTCTGTTCTAGCTTTTCCTGTCACTTTCTGCTATGATAACAGGGCAGACAGTACTACGTTCAGCAGAGTAAATACACACACACCACACCCCCAGTCTCTGACTTTCGTTTCCAACGGGACAGGAAGTGCCTGCTCAGCTCAGGGGACACAGGAAGGGTGGGAACAGCCTCAGTGTGGGAATTGCAGCACAGAGTGGAAGCACAGCAGCCGATGCAGTAAATAAGTTAATGTGGGCATCTCTCAGCGACACCATGTTTTTTTCAAGTCCCTTTTCTACCCTCGGAGATTCTCATTCATTATATTCCAAGTTATCCTTGCCATTTAGGTCCTCAGTTTATGTTTTTTCCTTTAGCCTAAGGATGTGCTACAAAAACCTTAACTTTTTTAAAAAGGATTTGTTTATTCACTTTTAGAGAAGGAGAGAAACATCGATGTGTGGTTGCCTCTCAAGCGCCCCATACTGGGGACCTGGCCCAAACCCAGGCAGGTGCCCTGACTGGGAATTGAATTGAACTGGCAACCCTTTGGTTTGCAGCCTGCGCTCAATCCACTGAGCTACACCAGCCAGGGCAAAAAAAAAACAACCCAAAACGGTAACTTTTTAAGGCTTGATTTATAATGGGGTTTGTAATGGCAGTCAAATTAATTTATAAAATTCTAATACTCTCAATGTGTTATGTTCTCCTACTACATTTCTTCCTGTTCAATGATATCTTAGAATTGAAAACAGGTAGGTATTGGCAGGGTAGCTCGGTTCATTAGAGTATAGTCCTGATACACCAAGGTTTCGGGTTTGATCCAAGGTCAGGGCACATGTAAGAAGCAACCAACCCTGGCTGGTGTGGCTCAGTGGACTGAGTGCCAGCCTGGGAACCAGGGGGTCACCAGGTTCGATTCCTGGTTGAGGTGTGTGCCTGGGTTGCAAGTTGGGTCCCCAGTGAGGGGTGCACAAGAGGTGACTACATATTGATGTTTTTCTCCCTCCCTTCCTCTTTCTCTAAAAAATAAATAAATAAAACCTTTAAAAATACAAAAAAAGCAACCAATGAATGCATCAATAAGTGGAACAGCAAGTTGATCTCTTTTTCTCTCTCTGCCTTCCTCTCTAAAATCATTTAAAAATAATAGAAGTCTATTAAAATTTTTTTAAAGAATTGGAAATAGTTAAAACCATAAGTTTTAGAAAGAAGTAGACATGAGTTCAAGTCCAGTTACCACTGTTAAGTCACCATTTATGTAACTTTAGGCCAAGTTACTTAACATCTCTAATTCACTCATTTGCAAAATGAGATAATACCCACTTCATTCACATTTGGGATCAAATCTAAGTTCTGGTTTAGTTCTGTCGCTCACAAGCTGAGTGAGGCTAGGAGAGTTACCTCACATAGCTGAACCTTACGATTCCTATCTGTAAAACAAAGTAAATAAATAGTATCTACTTCTGAAAGTTGTAGTGAAATGAAATGAGGCAATGCATAGGAAGGCGCTTAGCCCTTGGTGAACACTCGGTAGATGTTTGCTCCATGATGATTAATTACTCTACTGTCTCCCAGTGTGTACCCCTCTGGGTATCACATAACCCAGATTTCGTGATCTAAAGCGAACACTTCCAAAAACTAGTACCTCAGTTACAGTCAAAAGACTCTGACTCAGAGGGAAGGGGGACTGGGGGGCTGGGTGGAAAAGGTGAAGAGGTTAAGCAAAGGAAAAAACCCTCCTAGACGGAGACAACAGTGCGGTGATTAGCAGAGAGAAGGAGGGGGGAGTAGAAGAGGGTAAGAGGGGCATAGAAGGTGGTAGAAAGAGATTTGATTTGGGATGCTGAACGCATGATACAACACACAGATGATGTGTTATAGAATCGTATGCCTGAAATCTGTGTAAATTATTAACCAATGTCACCCCAGTAAATTCAATAAAAATTATTTTAAGAAGCCCCAGTGGCTCAGTGGATTGAGCGCTGGCCTGTGAACCAGACGGTTGTTGGTTCCATTCCCAGTCAGGGCACATCCCTGGGTTGCGGGCCAGGTCCCCAGTGCGGGGTGTGCGAGAGGCAGCCGTACATTGATGTTTCTCTCCCTCTCTTCCCCTCTTTAAAAAGAAATACAATCTTTAAAAAAATAAAAAATAAAGAAAGTTATGGGATTTTTGTGGGAGTGACAGAGAAGGTAATGGAGTTCTGTAGTTAGATTCCGGAAGCACATGAGAGGAAGGAGAATCCTGTTTCTTCCAGTGCGTTTACTTTGCCCCCCGATCTGCTTTGTCCATTACAGAGCCCGTGTTTTTCTAGATTTAGTCAAAGTTTCTCAAATTCTTGGTTCTAACAGGTCCACAGCCCAAGAGTTGTGTTGAGACGAAAAGTAAAATAAGTGTTACTTGGAGCTTTTCTTGGAAAGGGACATTTGTACCCCTGACTTAATGTAGACTGGTTTGTGATTTCTTCAGAATAAGACACCTTTAAATAAGTGTCTTGGGTAAAGGAGTCGGCTGAACCAACCATGACCCACATGTTGAAATATGTCGTGTGTCACTGTTGGCCCCACTGCACTAGGGCGGAGAACTCAAAAGAGTGGATCCCCTGCAGGTGTTCTGGTGATCCCGCACCTGTGCAGGTGACCCTGGTCAGACATCCAGCTGGAGCTGGGCTGGTGTGGTACGAGTGTCTGAAAGCCGTGAGGAAGGGCCAGGTTGCTACTGAAGCTCTGAATGTGGTTCAGAGACCTGACCAAGGCGGATCAGGACCAAGGACACTTTTTTGTCAGCTGTTAACATTCTCTGTGGGTTATCTTTCCTGCCACCGATTAACTTGTGTGCACAAAAGACTAATGGAAGCAAACCAAAAAATCGAATTTATTTCATGGTTAGGAAATGAGTGTTGTTGCTCGGTTGGTTGGGTGTCATCCCACAGAGCGAAATGTTGCAGGTTTGATTCCCAGTCAGGACAAGTGCCTGGTTGTAGGTTTGGTCCTTGTCAGTCAGGGTGCAAGAGGCAACCCCAACGGATGTTAATCACTTCAATGTTTCTCTCCCTCTCTTACTCCCTCCCTTCCCCTCTCTCTGAGAATAAATAAATAAAATCTTTAAAAAAACAGAGAGAAGTGGGGAAAAGTTTATTTAACATATAAGCTTCCTTAAGCAAGAAAGTGAAAAAGTGAAAAATAAAAGTGTATTTAACATATTGTATAAGCTTCTTTAAGCAAGAAACTTAAAGAGATGCATCAAACAACTAAGAAAGCGTACCCATTACCCCCTCTGATGGAGGATGGAATGACAGAATTAGCCTAAAACTAGAAATTGGGAAGGAGTAGCCAGACTCTCGATTCTTTGATTTAACTGACCGGGAAACAGGGGGAAAGACAGACAACTCTGAAGAGTATCTATCTCACACCCTAAATATCAGTGCTTATAGTGTGTTCTCTTCTTTTTTCTTTTAAGATTTCATTTTATTTATTTATTTTTAGAGAGAGGGGAAGGGGAAGAGAAAAGAGAGCGAGAGAAACATGTGTGTGGTTGCCTCCCACATGCCCCCTACTGGGGACCTGGCCTGCAACCTGGGCATGTGCCCTGACTGGGAATCAAACCAGGACCCTTTGGTTCTCAGGCTGGTGCTCAAGCCACTGAGCCACACCAGCCAGGACAAGTGTGTTCTCTTCTATAGCAACAGATACTTTGGTCAAAAATAGCAGGGAATATCCTAACAAAATTTTCAGACACACTTGTCCTTTGCCAGACAGTAAAGAAACATAGGAATCAAATTATATAAAATCCCCCAGCTATTCCACTGCTGGTATTACCCAAGAGAGATAAAAAATATGTTTACACAA